TTTCACGCTTACCAGTGGGTCCATGAGCCAACCCTACTCAGTCCACCTCCTGTAATAACAGGAACTGTGGCTTTTCCTGTCTGGCCTTCCACCCAATCTGGTTCTTGCTGTTGGATGTTCCAGCCCAGCCATGGTTTGTCTATACCCACATATGGCTCGCACATGGCTCAGTAGGGGTTTGAGACCCTGCCTGGTCCATCCCACATCTGCCCTGGTCCTCCAGAACACCAGGGGGAGTCGGGGTCCGGCCCGGTTCGGTGCATCCAATCCCAGTCCACACTTGTGCCAAGGGAGACTACAACTGTTTCCAGATCAGAACGCAGCTCCCCTTCCAGGCCATGTGCCTCTTGGTGGGAACCTCAGCCCAGCTAGGGTTGTCCCCTTTGCTCCCCAACCGGGTCTGTTCCCAGCCATAGATCACTTGCCTGCCAATGGATGCTCTGACTCAGCTTGGCACAGCTCCTCACCTGTCCCGACCTCTGCCTTAGACACTGTGGCTTAGCGTCCCTGGCTCCCACAGACCAGCAGGTACAAGAACCTAGCTCGGCAAGACCTCTGTGCCCTCCTGGTTTCTAGTTTTACTTGTGGGCTAAGGTTTGTTCAGTCGTGCCTAATCTACTCTGTTCCATTACCAGTTGACACATTGGCCAACTGTTGGAGCTACTTTTGCAGGACAGGCCCCAAGCCCTAGCTTCTGCATGACTGGTATTTGGTACTCAGAATTATTAGTGATTAAAAGTTTTGCTAAGGAAGAGTTACTGCCTGTTTCAGGTCCAAGAAGCACAATGGGTTCAAACTGGAGGGAATTAAGCAGCAACTCAAAGAACCAAATCCCCAGAGCTCCCCAGCAGGGCGCCCAGCAGGCAGAGCCTGGCACCAAATGGCGCACTGGCCGCCCAGGGACAGCTCAGCACATGGCGGCTGTCCGGGATCCAGGCATGAGACGCCCCGTCCTGAGACCCACCAGCTGCCAGGAGGCAGCTGGAGGTTTAAATAACCCAGGCCCAAGGTCGCCCCCCTCCCAAATCCCATTCACCGCCCCATGAGGGCGGCGGGTGGGTGCCGGGCCTGCCCAGCCCCGGAGGCCTCCCCCTCGGTCTACTCACCCCGAAGGAAGCGGCCCCCGGAACCAGCAGGCCCAGGGACAGCTCAGCACATGGCGGCTGTCCGGGATCCAGGCATGAGACGCCCCGTCCTGAGACCCACCAGCTGCCAGGAGGCAGCTGGAGGTTTAAATAACCCAGGCCCAAGGTCGCCCCCCTCCCAAATCCCATTCACCGGCCCATGAGGGCGGCGGGTGGGTGCCGGGCCTGCCCAGCCCCGGAGGCCTCCCCCTCGGTCTACTCACCCCGAAGGAAGCGGCCCCCGGAACCAGCAGGCCCAGGGACAGCTCAGCACATGGCGGCTGTCCGGGATCCAGGCATGAGACGCCCCGTCCTGAGACCCACCCAGTCTGGCTCTTTTCTAAAACACCCGGGAAGGGAATGGAAAATGATACAAGTAGTTGGGCCCCTGTCACTCTGAATCTCTTCCTCTTCGTGGCTCTAGCAGGAGCCGCTGAGGAAGTGGCCTGCACTGCAACTGGGCCAGAAGGTTGCAGGGGTGGAAATGCTGTGTGTTTAGAAGAGTAAGGACAGGGATTCCCAAAGATTCTGGTTGTCCTCTGGGACATCAGGCACCAGGCCAGTGAGACTCAGAAACTGTTCTGGGGAAGGTGTCCTATCCCCCTGACCGCCTCCTCTTGACCTTCACAAGGGGTAGGCCTGGCTGTCTGGCCGGCATCACTCCAGCCTACAGGAGGCTTGAGGGACAGATTCCTGAGACAGAAATGAGGTGAGGAAGCTGATGCGATGGGGGTCAAGCAAGCTGACTCTTTAGGGTTCCCAGTATCAGGGAACCGCAACAGAAGGCACGGAGACACTGAGAAAGCCATGCTGTTCACAGCATAGTCAACTCTTCTCTGGGACTCAGCCAGTACACAAAGGCACTTCAATCTGGGGGAACAGGATTGGTTCTGATGACTTCAAACTCCAGTCCCAGCTGTGCCCCAGGTGGCCTGGGATTAGGAAAGGCCTTACCACTCTGACCCAGGTCCTTCTCAGAGCAGCCTGCTCTTCCACAGCCAGGGCTCCTCTGGAAGCTATAGGAACAAGCAGAGGGACACACATGTGGTACTTCACCAGTGCTTTATTACACAGAAGAATCCAAATATTTACATCTTGACAATTCTTATACTTCACACAGCTGGGAAGGGCAAGGGACTGGAACGCAGAAGGGATAGAGGGGTTGTGGGTGGGAAAACGTGCTGGACCAGCATGGAGGTAGTTGCAGGAGATCGTACCAGAAAGGATCAAGGTTCTAGCCACCTGCCATCATCCTTCCATACCCAGGCCTACTCACTATCCACTCCCCGTTCTCCCCTCTCCATTATTCTTCAAGCCTTGTATTCTCTCTGCAAAGGGAGACTAGAAGGAATTTGGGAGGCTAAAGCTGGAGCAAGGGAGACAAGGGGAAGGCCTAGCTAGAAGTTCTATTAATGCCTAGCTTTCCAATCAGCTTTGAAGATTTCCTCTGGGTGTATACAGAGCTGCACAGCAAGGCCTGGTCCCCCCTAAAAGGTTCCCCTCCTCAACCACTCTGAGAGGGCATCGAGGGTTGCACTTGGTGCTGAGGCCATCACATGCCCAGCTCCTAGTGGGTCCCAACCCCACCAGGGCTCCTTCCATGGGTCCTCTCCCGTAGGTACCAATCCAAAAGATTTTGTCAACTAAACAAAACACATTCACACAGTGATTTGATTTTTGATTGTATAATTAACCAAAGACATACATAAACTTTTCATGATCTTACGCTGGTTAAAAATGGAAATAGCCAAGGAGTAACCTGCTGACTTACTAAGAATTTAGTCAAAACCAAAAATATTTATGGCATGACCTGACCCTGGGTAAAAATACATTTGTTATTCATTTTGGATAATGAAAATAGTTCATGGCAAACACCTCACTCCATTTCCACTTCCTCCACACCTCCTTTTTGGCCAGAAACTCCAGTCTTGGCCCTTGTCCAGATTGTTAGAAGCAAAGAGGTGGCAGCAGGGGCACCTCTAGGTTTGCACCTAAAAAGCTCTGGGCCACCTGGGTCACAGAAGAGGCCACCTGCAGGGAACAGTTCCTGTAACTCGCAAACCTCCAACCCTGGCTCCCCAACTCCAAGAGGAAACAGTGATTACACAGGAGGAGGAAGGAGTCTGGAGTGACTTCCTAGAAGTCAAAACTCCCCCAATCTGTCCCGATTTTGTCACCCTTATCCCCAAGAATTCCTTATCCTACTAGAGTCACCGATTCTCAGTACCCAAAGTAGAGCAACCAACTTCCTTCCATTGAGGGCTCTTGGTCTGCCCTGGGGGACCAGGGAGAGTAGGCTTGTCAAAATAAACAGCTCATAAATAAATGCACCATCATGTTGTGAACTATGCAACTAGGGGAAAGCTTTCTCAGGGTTGTCCTCAAGGTGGTGCCTGAGGCGGGAGAGTGTGGCTGAGGACCATGACAGGACTCCGGAGGAGGACTGCACTCCACTCAGTCTCAAGACTGCAGACTCCTCCTGTCCTGGCCGACGTCTGTGTGCCTCGAAACAAGCCTCACCTGTTTCTGAGTCTTCAATTTTCTTTTCATGTCTGCAAGAGTCACCTTTTGTGACTGAATGAATGAATACCTCAGCTCTCCCAATCGGTCACTCTGAGATTGAACGTGTATGTGTGTCTGGGGAAAAGGACTATTCTAGAAATACTCAGCGGCACTTGGTAAACCATGAACTCAGGAGGGGTGAGGCAGAGAGGTCAATCAAGGGCCGGTTTGGGGCACTCGGGGGTCCCAGACACCCACAATGGCACATCCCATGCAATACCTACAAGACAAACATTCCTCCTCTTCACTGGCTAAGGACTCATTATCCCATGGAGAAGGCAGGACCAAAGGCTAGCAACACACAATGGCAGGAGACATCTGGTGGAGAACCATAGGAGGGCAACTCAGTGAGAGGGAACTGAGATGGCTAGGGGCTCCCCTGCCTCTCCTGTGGGGCCAGAGGCTTCCCTGATGCTCGAGGGGCGGAAGGGGCTGGAAGCACTCCAGGAGCCCTTTCTTCTTGCCCCCACTCACAGGGCAAAGGCTGGAGTCATCACGGCAGGCCTCCCTGTTGCTCCCTGGGTAAGGAGGAGGAGTGGGAAATAAGAAGTGGGGGTCCTTCCGGGCTGATGGGCTCATCGTTTGCCTCTCGCACCTAATTCTGGGGTGGAATTCCTAGGATCAGAGCTGAGTCCCAGAGAGAGTGATGCTAAATGCTGTGAGTTATTATCCAGTATCCCATGAAAAAGAAACAAGCAAATGAAAAATGGCTGTCCAATAGCCTGCAGGAACTTGGTTAAATGGAGTTCAATGGATTTCACTGCTGCAGAACTTCTCAGGGCCTTCATCTGTATGAACAGGCCCCAAGAATCACTATAAAAGAAACATAACATGTGATTGCTCCCAAAGCTTGCTTTAATAGAAAACCCCTTTGGTGTGGTGTTTGTCATGATTAATGGGATATGGGACATACTTTCTAATTCATGAGTCTTGGGGAGATGCCCAGGTGCCTTTGTGGTCCCCTTCCAGGCCTTTGTCCGGGTGGTCTCCCCGGCCACTGAGTTCTGAGCCTGGGCTTGCAGTCCTATCGTCTAACTTAAGCAGGCCAACATCCAGGTCTCTTGTACACAGCCTCAGACGTGACAGGAAGAAGCCTAGAGTGACAGTGAGGCTGAGGAAGGCCAAAGGGAAACTAGACTGGGAGGCCATAGCTGGTTATGGCTGTGTGAGAGAGACTATTGGAGCCAGGGATGGCCATCCTGCCTTGCAGCCCACTATTGAGTTTTGGTTGTGTTCATTGTACAAGCAGCCGTCATCATGGAGGAGGGAGGGAGAGAAGGAGGAGATGGGAAGAGAAGGGGTAAGGAGGGACAGTTACACGTGTGAGCCAAAGGCTGAGCTGGAGCACCAGAAGGCATCACCCACAGAAGACGGGACTCCCTCTGCCCTCAGCAGTAGTTCTCCATCCACAGATGGTTGTGGAGTCCCAAAGTGGGTCCCCTCTGGCTCCACAAAATGGCTACCCTCCAGGCTTGGGGCTCCTGGCTGCTGACAGGAGATGAGGGTCATTGAAGAGAAGCCATAGGTCTCCAGTCCAGGAGGCTGCCCAGCCTCTGAAGCTTCCAGAATGAGATCCACATCGGAGAAGGCCACGAGGGCCTGGGTGGAATCGCAGGAGCTCTTCTCCAGCTCATGGGTCACGGTGTAGGCCAGGGGCCCTGAGTTGCCTGGGCAGGGCCAGAGCCGTCGAAGGTCATCCCGGAAGTGGGGATTGAAGAGTAGGTAGAGCAGTGGGTTGAGGCAGGCGGGCAGGGGCAGCACTACGAGCAGGACAGACTTGACAGCCTCTGGGGTGACAGGGAAGAGACCCAGCATGGAGGCAAAGCTGAGGAAGGCCACAGGAAGGTAGAGGAGCCCATCTGCAAAGATGAGCCAGGCCACGTGCCTCACCATAGCGCAGTCCCACACGGCCTCGAAGTCGCCCCGTGGCAGGTCACAATAGAGCTTGATGTAGGCACCAACCACAACCAGGAAACAGAAGGAGTTCATCATGACCAGGGCCACAGCGAAGCCCAGGGCCGCTGGCTGGCCCTCAGGCGGGGCATACGGCAGGCAAAGCGGGGAGGACCCATATTCTCCCACTGAGGCGAGGGGCAGAGCCGCGGTCAGCCCTGCCAGCATCAGGCAGCCCAGGGCCCCGGCTTGAACATTGCCTAGGGACGGAGCTTTCCCGTAGGCCCGGACGCACGAGACAGAGATACTGCACTGCACGGCGGCCAGAGTGAGTAGCAACACAGAGGCCTCTGAGCCAAGCACTGCCAGGAAGCCTGTGGCTCGGCAACCGGGCCCCATCTCCCAGTGGGCTCCATACTCAGCGAACTGGCCAAAGGTCAAGGCATCAACCGAGGCTAGAAGGCCACAGGAAATTCCCGTTAAGGTGTTGGCGCCTGCAATGGCACCCACCACAAACTTCACTGGAGGCAGAGGCGAAGACCTTCTGGCAAACACAGACAGCAGCACCAGTCCATTACAGAACACCGAGAGGAAGACGATGGCCCACACGGCCAGGCGGATGCCCCAGCTCTCAAAGAGGTGCTCACAGGGCTTGAAGGGGCCTGCGGGAGAGAGGATCACACATTAGCTCTGGTCCAGAGGTGACTTGGAACTGTGGCCTGGGCTGAGGCCAGCCTCTGCGCTCGGGGAACCCTCCATCTAAAGATGACGCAGCTTCTTCTGTTCTGAGAGAATTCCCAGCCCAAGGGAGGCTGACATGGTCTCTTAACTCAGAGAGGCCCCCCCAGTCCAAGGAAAGCTGACTTGGTCTCTGACCTCAGAGAGCCCCCACTGTGAGGGAGGCTGACCTGCTCTTTCATTTGGACTCCTATTTGGGGCTGAAGGAGAGAAACCATGGGGACACACAGAGGAGCTGCATACAGGATGAACATTTATACTCTTCCCGATCTACCCAGAAACAGAAGCAGACTTGTCCACAGCACACGTTAACACAGTGCTACCTCAGGCACTGAAGGAATGCTGGGCAAAACAGTCAATCTGTGCAACAATCTTTGGAAGGAAGGGATGGATAAGACATCATGGAGTAGGGGAGACAGCATCAGAGTTGGGAATAGGGTGGGAGCCGAGACACAGAGGCGTGAGGGGAACCCAGACAGTCACCACTGGGCACTGGGTACCCAGGCAGAGCTCAATAACCCATGGACAGAGCCCTGATGACCCCTCACCAGGTGATGGATCACAGTAGATACTCATCAGCCCATCAGGAAAGCAAGCAATTAAAATGTGGGTAACTTCTGGGGTCTCCCAACCTGTCTCCACGCTAACAGGGTGAGGTCCTGGTATTTCCCAACACTCCCCAGAGTCTGTTCTGAAATTGCCTTTCAACTTTGGACTTACTGTAATGTTTTCATTTTCTTTGGCTACAAATTCTCATTCTTCAATGAATCGTTAAGTAGTCTGGGAATTTGAGAGGTGTGTGTGCTTTTTAAAAAAAATTTTTTTACTTCTTTTTATTATCATTTTATGATACAGTTCCATAGGCCCTGGGATTTCCCTTATCCCCTCTCCAATTCCCTCCCCCTCCACGAAGTTCCCCTATATCATTACTACAGTATAGTTCTTCATACACAGTCATATGTCCATCATTGTGGGCATGGATGATGGCAGAGTCCAGCATCCTATTGTCAAGATAAAGTAAACAGTTTCATTGGGAGTCCATCTTTGTCTGGAAGTAGAGATGCATACTGCATTGTATCCTCACATCTGGATATGATAGTCTCCATTACACGGTTACTATACATCCCCTTAAATAAAAAGGTGTGGCTGTTTTTAATATACATATATATATATATTTATGATGACTAAATAATATATGATAATTATAGAAACTTTGAAAACATAACGTGGAAAATTAACACTGCTTATAACCTCACCTGTCAGAAAAAGCTCAGTATTTAAGCTGTTTTCTTCCAGTTAAAAAATTACATATATGTATATATGTTTGTGTTTGAACTATATTGGTATTTTATCATAGCTAGCTTTTTGTTCTCCTCAAATTAAAATTTTGATATGCACACTTTCCAATAGCCTTATTCCCAGTATTTCCAATAGCCCCAAAGCATGGCTGTATATAAATACACATATGATATACTATTATTTGTTTGATCATATGCATGAGATACTTTAAAAGGAAAGCTCAAGTCGGACTTTGTCTTTTGGAGCGGCCTCCTTTACCTCATCCCTCACAGTCAGTGGTAAGTCAATCTTACCACTTGCAGAGGTAAGATTTCACGGTAGTGTGCAGAAACCACCACTTGCCTGGTCCATGTCCTGGTGCCAGGCTGGCACTAGGGGGCGTGCTGTTGTCATTAAGGACAAAGAGCCGGTATCCCACAAGGTCAGACCAGCATTTTGGCGGGGAGGCAGGGGAAGGCAAGGGGAAATAACAGGCCTGAGCCAAAGAAAGATGGAAAATCAGAAAGTGAGGGTGGGAGGAGAAAGCAGCAGCAAACTGTGGGCTGCTTGGTGTTCATTCAGAACAGTTCCCGCGGTAGGTAGCGCGCCCCTGCCTTCTGGGGTGGCCTGTTAGCATTCTGTGTGCAAGGAAAGGGACTGGTCCACTCTAGACAACTTGGGTTAAACTGTATCAAACAGAAAGGAGATTTTTTTTTTAAGCCAGCTGGATTTAGATCCAACTCTAAAGTAGGCCTCTGCTGCTCTAAGGGTTATGTGGACTGCTAAGGACTTACCCTGGGGGTTCTGCAGAGGGCTCCTCGTGTTTTCACTAGGGAAAACAGTCTTCCTGAGACAGAGGGGGTGACCTTCCAAGGCCTTTCTACGTTGTCATGGTGAGGGGATGCTCAGGAGCTATGGCTCAAGCACTTCCTTCTTGCCTCTCCTCAGGCAGACCACTTTTCTCCAGCATCTTCCATTTGGCTGCTTCATCAGGGTGCCTGTCTACCTTCCCTCCATCCTCCAACCCCCTACCCCATGGTCTCACAGGGTTCCCCTCCAGCAGATGCCACCCTGCCCTAGCAGATGGGATGCTGGGCAGACACAGTGCCTAGAGCGTAGCTGCAGACATGCCCATCCCAGCTGGCAGCTCCTCCAGGTGGCCAGATGCTCCCTCCCTGGCTCCTAGGTCTGTACTGCAGGCATACATCTCACCTGGAGTGGGGCTGCACTGGACGCTGGGCTGGGGCTTGGAGTTCTCAATGTCCAGCTGCAGCTCTTCCAGGTCCAGGTCATCTGCGAAGGGAGATGAGAAAGTGGCTTAGGTTATTATGGGTCTTGTGGTCATTTTCCAGGTGTCCACCCATGGTGTCAAACTAACTGTTCAGCACTGCTCATTCCCGCAGCCCTAAAATTCAGCTTTGCTCTTTGGTCAGCTCTCCCTTTCTCATACCTTAGGACTGAGCCACATTATCGGTCTTGCACAGCAACGCTTTCATCAGCTTCTTTCTATGACTCAGCACACATTCTGTGTGTGCCCTCTCCAGGCCTGCTGCCTGACTGTACCAAGCTGAAGCTGGGAGCCTGGAACTCAGTACAGGTCCCCCACATGGGTGATAGGGATCCAAGTACTTGGGATATCAACTGCTGCCTTCCTAAGTGCGTTATCAGGAAGCTGAACCACAAGTGAGTAGCCAGGACTCAAACCAGACAATTAATATGGAATGCAGGCATCCCAACTGGCTTCTTAACTTCTGTGCCAAATACCCATGGCCCTACCATATGCTGTTTTTTCCTGGGGGCAGGAGAGGCAGAACCAACATCAATGGACAGCTGTAGGTGGAGCCAAATTCGGATTCAAGTGGAGATGGATGCTCTAGTTTTTCCTAAAAAGAATGAATCCCTACAAGTAGAGTTGTTCAACAAAGGATTACCCTGCCTTCAACAAGTGCAGAGTGTGTTCATATGTTGAAAGCATGTTGACCAGAGCAGAAGAATTTAAGGATGGAAAAGATACGGTTTTGCTCTAGGAGATCTTGTGGAGACAAATAGAAAACAAACCATGAGGCCACCATGTGTTTTATCAGCTGATTCATGCAGCAGCAAGGCTTACCTTTCTTAAGCTCTTACTGTGTCCTCCCTTCTCAGGAGTTGAGCAAAGCACATGACACATTAGGAAACTGAAGCTGATTGAGGGGATGTGACTTGCCCAAGGCCTCACAGCTGGTGAGTGACAGACCATGAGTCAAACCTGCATTTCTCTGGCTACTGAGTCTGGAGGTTCAGTCCTGAGGCTGGGCATGCTCTGGGCCCTGGAGGTATTGACACAGCAAGTCCCCATGGAGAGAGGGCGCCATCATGCTGAGTCAGAGCGGGTTAAGACCACCCATATCATTCTTTCCGATGGTCCCAAGAAAAAAAATTAGCATTGCAAAATCATCTCTAAGACAAAAATTCTGTGACATGTCGGAATCAAATGAAAATTCTGGTTCTTCTTGCCTAGTGTGGTGTTTCTTTTTTTGAAAAAAGATTTATGTATTTCAAGGACAGAGTTTCAGAGACAAACAGGGAAAGACAGAAGGAGGTCTATGCGAGTTCAGTCCCCAGCAGCTGGGACTAAACCAAGGAGAAACCAGAAGCCTAGAATTCCAACAGGGTCTGCTACACTGGCAACAGGATCCAAGCACTTGGGCCATCTTCTGTTGCTTTCCCAGGTGCATTAGCAAGGGGCTGGATTGAAAGTGGAGCAGCCAGGACTCAAAGTAGCACTCTGATGTGTTGTCAGTGGCAGCCTAACCCACTGTACCATAGCATTGGTGGCATGCAGGGTTTTTCTTTTTTAATGCAGTGTTTCTTGAACTCGGGTCTGTGACCTCCAGGAGATTATGCACATCTCAGGGGCTCATAAATTCTACAATGTGAAGTTTGAAATAAGGATCAAAAACACAAGCTGTAGAGGCTAAGCTGTTATCCATTATGGGATCGCATGCTCTTTCCAAGCTTCTACATTCAGGTTGGGAAAGATTCTGATGCCCTCATGGCAGGTGAGACTTGCTTGGCTTAACAATGCGTCGCTGCGCTAACAGGTTTGACCGTGGGCATCTCCTCCATTTCCTGGGTGAGGGGCAGGTGACCTTTTTGTTGCACTTGTCCCAGCTGTGGCTTGCAAGGTCTGTTTCCTCTATGCCTCTTCAAGCATGAACACATCCAGTTGGGAGTTTTCCCAGGAGGCAGGGAGCCTGTGGAGCTGCCCCTGGCCCTGATGCTGTGCAGGCTGATAGAAGGCTGAGGTGTGCCCACAGCTCTGGAATTTCCTTCCCTCTCTACCTTTCATTCCCTTCCAGAAACAGACATATTTGGCCCAAGACAGCCTTGCACCACAGTGGCCCTTCCCTCAGCAGTTCTTTGAAATCAAAATGCATGAATGAAATACAAGGGGGTGAAACCCAGGGACTCTGTCTGAGGCTGGGAAAGTCACAGCCAAGGTGTTAAGTAACCACTCTTCAAACGGGGAGGAAATCGAATCTGGCTGGACCGGCAGTTCCTTGGCTTTCCTTCTCGCGGCTCATTAGTTCTCACAGGAAGTGGGGGGCCCTGCCCCAGCTTCCGTTACAGGCGGCAGGCAGCCCACGAGCTCGACGCCCTGTGGTTCTCAGAGACCCAAGCCCGATGGAAAGTTTCACCTTGAGAAAGGAAAGTTTCCATTCCTCCTTCCAGCCCCCTGAGGGAGTGTACAGCAGACATCCGGGAATGTCCCCTGGGGACAGCTGTCTGTGGCCCAGGGCCAGTCTGGCCATTGGGCTCCTTCTCAGCCAGTCCCCAGTCCCCACCCCCACCTCCCCCAGAGAGGTGCATCCATTCCCTGAGATGGGGTTCACTGGAACTGAGGTTCTCAGAGACTCTCCCCTTGTCCGCCCCGCCCCCCACAGGGTGCTTGCCCAGCATTTAGCCTGTGAGCTCTGTCCCACACCACACAGACACGTGCACCCCTACGCAGTTGCCCAAGGGCATCAGCAACCTTGCTTTGCTATTTCTGAGACCTTTCATTCCTCCCTCCAGAGCTCTCTGATACATCCGTTACCTGTCTGTGAAGGACAGGGAAACTGAAGCTCAGTGGCCTAAGTCACTTATCCAAGACCAGCCACGAGGTGGATGGTTTGCTTGGGTTAAGACCTATACCATCTGCCTATACCATCATGTTTTCCTTGTCTGTTTAGATTTTGCTATTTAGCTTCTCCATTCAGAGAGTAGACAAAGAGGGTAGAAAAAGGTATCTCAATAGCAGGGGTCCTCTTTCCCTCCTAATTCTGCTTGGGTTCTGTAGCGTGGGGTGGGGAAAGGGGGCCTTTCCGTGCCCTTTATCCAGGACCCCTTTGGATGCCTGCCTCCCACTGCTGAGATAGACAGGCCTTCCCCAGGATGGCTGCAGGTGCTGGTCCTTCCCAACAAGCTGCTCTTATAGCTAATAGCCACCCAAGTCCTCCTTGCAGACTCCTGGAACACATTGGAGGTGCGGATGGACTCACACAGCAACAGCCCCCAGGCTGTTCCTTTCAGTTCTAGAACACATTATGAGTTTTTTTTTTTTTTTTTTTTTTTTCCTAGAAGCAGGTTTAATTAGATTGATTTAATTCAATCCTACTTGGCTCGAGAATGCCCTAAGGTGGCAGGGCCTTCTTGTCAGGAAGACAGCCACAGGGAACAAGCATTCAGGCCCCAGCACAGGGAACTGAGATGGCGCCTGCTCACTCTGAAGCACTGAGTGCCAGACCAATACAGAGACCCTGCTGCTGCCCAGGTTGCCAACAGAACTTCATCAAAGCAGCTCCGCATGCAGCCTTGGAGACCAGGCACCGACAGTGGTACTATTTCCTCCCAAGCCCCAAGCAGCCCTGTGCCCCCAAGTTTCCCACAGTAGCCCCCGCAAGGCCCTCCCCTCTAACTGCCTCTCCGTGCCCCCAATCCCGTCCAGCTGAGAATCCGCATCACTCACAGTGGTTCTCTGCTTGTCCAGCAAGAAGGCCTAGGGGCCTCTTGGGAGCCTCTTCCTCAAGGTGCAAGTCCTGGACCTCCCACTGCCCAGAGGCCTTGAAGAAACTGGCACAGACACCATAGGCACAGCACTGGTAGGCATAGGGTACCTCCAGGATCCTGGGAAGAGAGGAGCAGGAGATGAGTCATCTTAGTGTGTTTTAGCTTGAGTTATGAGATCTCAACCCAACAGCTGAACACCTGTCCTTCTGTTCTAAAGTCCCTGACCACTGAGCAGGCAGTTCCCCCAGCCCGCCTTTCTGCACCAGAGTCTAACAGCCTGGCCCTTGATTGAAGGGCTCTGGGCATGCGCCAGGCCCTTCCTCCTTCTGACAAGAAACTTGTTGCCCAGTGTCTGAGAGATGTCCCCCTCAGGCTGGACTAGGGGTTTGAGGGTAGCTTCTCCAAGGTCACTGTCAGCATCCCAGCTGCCACTCTTCTTTTACATTGAAAGAGGCAAGGATTCTCCTGGGGACCTTGCCTTTGCCCTCAGGGGAACCCCAGCTTGTCCTTAGGCTGGGTCCCTTGGCTGGGAGCCCCCTGAGCCAGACGGCATGTGCCCCCAGGGGGCTGTCACGAGTTTGCAGCTGAGGATACTTGGGCCACACAGGCTGTGAGGTGGCAGCGCTGCGGCAGAGGAGGCCTGGATGTCATTAGCACCGAGGCCTGGCTGTGTAGCCCGTTTTCCACAACTCAGTGCCCTGGGCTCTGCCTTGGCTCCAGAGGCCCTGCTGCTGCCCAAATGTGGAATGGCAGTCTAGGTGTGTGGGACTAGGCAGAAGTGATGCCTGCCTGAAGTTGGTGCCTGGGGCAAGGGAAACACTGCTACAAAGGAGACAAGGACCCAGGCTAGGCGGGGAGGAGGTGGGGCAAGCCTTGCGCACGGAGCCTCCACAGAACTCCCAAGTTCCTGTCCTGTACCGCCCTACTCTACACCCCTAACTTTGCCTCCCACTGCCCCAGCCCTCACCTCAGTTTTGGGAAACTGTCCTTGGAGAAGGCCTGGAATAGGGCTGGGTTCCCTTTGAGCTTCAGGTGCATCAAGCCCCCGAGGCCGGCCAGGGGCAATGTGGTTAGCTGGTTGTCCGTCAGGTCCCTAGGACAGCCAATGGTCAGGGTTGCTGGCAGTGGGTAGCAGGGCTGTGGGGCGGGGCAGGTGGGGCGCAGGGTCAGGGTGTGGCTAGTGTGCCTGGGAAGGGGGATTGGGGAGGAAAGCACAGCAGGGAGGGGCATCTGTGTTGGGGCAAGAGGATGGCAAGGGCTGCCAGAGGTGCCTTCTGTAGTTCTCCATACACGGGGAACCACCCGTATACCAGGAACTGTGCAAATTCATGCCCCCATGGGTAGGTAACAGCTCCCATACCCCTCATAGTTTCTGCGCCCAGTTCCAAGCCCCAGCCAGGAGTGGCTGCCCATTCCACCCAGGAACCTGTTGCTGTTGCTGACTCCCCTCCATCTCCACGCCCCCCTTCCCTGGTGAACCCACAACTTTTCTGATGACACAAGAAGCCAGGGCTGGAGCCTGGTCAGAGCCGTTCGGTCATCTGGCTCCCAGCAGGGATTGGGTCACCCATCCTGTCTCGCGGTGCCTGCTTTATGGTCAGAGGTTAGGCCGTCCGTCCTCAGCCCTCTGCTAGAGGTATGCTGGAGGGAGCCAGGGCTGCAAAGCAAACACTGAGACCACAGACTGTGCGTCGTGGAAACAGCTCTGAACTGGACAGCAGGAAACCTGGGTAACCAAAGGGAGCCAGAAATTTGCCTGCGTTTCAATGTCCTCATCTTTCAAGGGGATAAAAATAGCTGCCCTACCTATCTGGCAGGAGTAGAACAAACATGACGGGCCAGAGAGAGGTACAAGTTTGGCCAGGCATGGCCCAGGGCCTGAGTGCTTCCTGCCAGGGAGCCTCAGGCCCCAGCCCTTAGTTTTGGCACCTGGGAGGCCTCACCTGTGGAGTAAAAGGCTGGGGACTGTAGGTTGGGGGAGCTTTAGGGCCAGGGCTGGAAATGGCCCAAAGGAGCCTTCCCATTGATCAGAAAGTGGCTGGGACTGGGAGGACATGTCTCTAGGAAGCACAGCTTGGCCAGCTCACAGGCAGGCTGTGAGCTCTGCGTTGGGCAGGAGCCCTTGTGCAGTGAACAACCTGAGCAACAGTCCATAGCAGCCCCACAGAGGTGCCTGGCACAATGACCATGGAGTCAGCATGGCCGCCTTCCTGTTTATATCCCAGGCTGTTTAGATGACCAGGGGGGCCTCCTGCTGCCTCCACAAAATGGCAATCTCTCCAGTAGTACTTAAGCAGGAGAGCCCTGTGCTGCTTGGTACCCTGGCTCCCCCAGCTACTGCCTTCTTCCTGGGTTGTGAAGGGGTTCTGTTCCCTTTATTGGAGGCAGGAACAGCAGGACAGGGCAGTAGCCTGTCAGCAGCTGATGCCCCAGAGCTTACAACAAGTGGGCTCTGTACAGCAGACCCCAGGGTCAGCCAAACACCCTGCCAGAAGGATGGATGAGGCTGGGGCTGTCTCCCTGGGAATGCCTGTCTCCTCATGGATGCATGTCCCTGCTCTGGGTGGCCCTCCTGCTCCCGCCACCCAGCAGCTACAGTCCCCACCGGTTCCCTGCAGCCTGGGGGAGGGGCTGGCACAAGCACTTACAGCTTGACCAGGGACCGCAGGGTCGAGAAGGCCTCAGGATGGATGGAGCGGATAGCATTACAGCTCAGGTCCCTGCAACAGAGAGAAGGCAGTGGGACAGTGACCTGGACAGCAGCAGGTCACTGTCATTGTTGCCACTCTGGGGGGCTCTCCTGCATACTCCCTGTGCCTGCCCACAGCAGCAATAACCTTGGCCCAGCTCCTGACCCAACAGGGACCTCCAGCTCGGCTCAGGCCTCAGGACCTGCTGGATACCAGCTACAGGAGCAGCCATCTGTGCTTGTGACTGGATGGCAGGGAGATCACGGGCACGTCCCATGGGTTTCAAGCGCATGCGTGGGCTGTGGCTGTGGACCGGCCTGGCTGTGAACAGAGGGAGGCAGGGGATCCTCCAGGACCCACACTGAGGACTGGGAGTACTCACAGGGTTTGCAGGACACTCAGCTGGCTGAAGGTGTCAGCTCCAATTTCCCAGATGCGGTTGTGCCGGAGGCCACTGGGACAGCAAGAGAAGCTGGGTGAGCCCGTGTGGGCTCAGACCCTGGCCGCCTTCCATGCCCCCCAAGCACTAAGAGGAAAAAAGGAGAGCCCCCCACTTCTCCTGGCATGGGAAGAAAGGGCTTAGCCCGCGGAAGTCACCAGAATTACAGGGAACACAAGGGGATCCGGTTGCCTTGGGTAAGTGGGTCAGGAGACAAAGCCACAAAACCATCCCTGTGGCCCAGAAGGGGGTCAGCTTCCAGTGTTCCCACCGGGCCTGGCTCTCAGCCCAGCTGACTGGCCCCACAGCACCCCCGCCTCCATCACCATGAGTCCTCCAGACCCCAGCTCAGGAACACATCACTGCCCTGCTATTGACCAGTCAAGCAACTGGTCAGGCTGATGACTGGCCAGGCTAATAAGCAGAGCTGGTCTGGAAGAGAGAAGGGGGCTACTCCCTCTGAGAGCCTTCTCTTCCTCCCAGCAGGCTGGTTCACCAACCCCCGCCCCCCCCCCAGCAGGCCCCAAGGGCATTGTCCTGCTGAGAGCAGGAGACAGGTGCAGGGGCTAGGTGAAGAGAGCTGAGCGCATTTTGAGAGGGGTTTTCCCTCAAAAATTGGAACCCCAGGTTTCCTCTCTCCTATACCTGCGCAACAACCAGTTACGCGTTTATGGGTGTTGATCACATGCTCCCAACTGCAGGGGGCGCCTGTGAGCGTGCCCCCCCTACTGACCCTGGTCATTGCTGCATTTCTGGGCTGCTGGTGATCAGCACCAGCCACCAGAGAGTCCTCTGGGCAGCAGCGTTGGCGACCAGCACTGCTGCAGGCCCCAGGGAACTGGTTTGGGAGACCCAGACCTAGCACCTGTGCTCAGCCAACTCGGAGAAGGGAGAAAGGTCCCCACTGAGCCCCGGTCACAGCCCTTGGTCTGTACTCCCTTGCCTCTCTCCTGTCCCAGGACTCACATTTCCTCCAGCTTCTGACACCTGTGCAAGCTGGGCAGCTCCTCGATCTGGTTATAAGACAGCTCTCTGCAAAGAGAGAGAGGGAGAGAAAAGAGAGAGAGAGATGGGGCCAAGGGTTAGGAGCTCAGTCCCAGGCTAGGCTTACTGGCCAGGCATCCCTAGCCGTGGCCTTGGTCATGGCCACATCTCAAGCCCACTTTGGATGGGACTGACTTGGCAGTTTTCCCAGTAGGACTGCCTTATTTAAGTGAGGGCTTGGGGAATCCTGGAAGGTCCTGGGGAGAGATGGGGAGTGGGAAGGGAGGGAGTGTGGAGACAGGGAAGACAGCAGAGAGCATTCCAGGGGCCTAAGGTGGCCCACACCCCAGGTTGGGCTCCCTGGGGAGCAGCCTAGGCTCCCAGTGTGAGTCCCAGGAGGCATTAACTTTCTGGCCATATTTTAAACTCCCACTCAGTGCTAGGTGGTTCACATGTATTCATTCAGCCCTCTCAGGTTTGCCCACATTTTCCAGATGAAAAATATGATGCTCGGAGATGGGAAGGAGAGAATCCAACCATTAGCAGCAGAGCTGGACTTCTGGTGTAAACAGGTATGACTTCAAAGACCACTGCCTCTCAATGCTGGATGGGAGAGGCCAGACTCCTGCCTCACCAGCACGTTCTCATGGGGAATCCCAGGCCACCCGCCCTCTGCAGGAAGAGATATGACCAAGTGGTACCCCAGCTGAAGATGCCTTTGCTGGGGAGGCAGAGGTCCCATGCTAAGACCCTAGAAGACGTGAGAGCCACTCACAGGACCCGGAGACTGGGCAGCTGCTGGCACATCCCTGCTGGGAGCAGCCGAATGCCTGCGCGGGTCAGGGTCCTGCAGAGAGAACAGAAACAGAGCTGGCAAGCTGGCAAAGGCCCAGGGACCTGCCATTCCCAGCCACCTGTCTCCACTTCTGGACCTCATACTATAGAGTGAGTTTGGAGCTAACCGAAGAGAGAGGTGCTGGGAGCTGCAGGGCAGTGGGTGGGGCTGCAAAGACAGAAAGCAGCCAGCCCTGACCCCTGGATGCCGAGCTTCCTGGTGGCCAGAAGAGCTGGGGACGGGGTTAGGAAGGGACAGTACCTGCAGGTCCAGCCCTACTCCAACTGTCCCAGTCCCTTCCTGCAGGTCTAGCTCCGCTCCAACTGTCCCTGTCCCTTCTCACTTTATGGCCCATCATCGGCTCCAGTGGCACTGGACCTGGGACACAGTTCCTCTCTGCTCTCAGAGCCTTGGAGAAGAGGGATGACCAGGACAAGAGGCAAGGGACACAGCTCCTGTGCAGCCATGGGGGACCAAACCCAGAGTTTGCTCCTGGATCCTTGGGGAAGAGAGACAGTGAGACATGTGAGAAGGAAAGAGGTAGAGCAAGAAGGGCTCTGGGGGCAAGTTGGAACACAGTTTGGCTCAGAGATAGGGTGGCCCCAGAGAGACACAAGGTCAAGGCCATCCCTTGGGAACTGGTACTTCCCGCATGGAAATTTTTCCACGTGCTAGAGAACAGAGAATTCCAGCCCAGCAATGCCAACAATAGATCATTGCCTGGGGGCTGGGACCCTTGGCTTCCACACATCCACTTGGGCTGTGTACTTGGCAGTTTCATCCATTCACATAAAAGGCAAGAATGGGAGCCAACACTGTGGCATAGCACCAAAAGCTGCTGCCTGTGATGCCAGAATTCCATATGGGTACAGGTTCAAGTCCTGGCTGCTCCATTTCCAATCTGGCTCCCTATTAATATAGATGGGAGGGTGATGCAAGATGGTTCAAGTGTTTGGGCCCCATCCATGCGTGAGACCTGGAGGAAGTTCCTGGCTTCCACCTGGCCTAGCCCTGGCAATTGTGGTCATCTGGAGAGTGAACCAATGGTTGGAAAGTCTCTTTCTATGTATCTGTATTTGTATCTCTCTTTCTCTCTGTATAAGTCTTTCAAACAAGCATATCTTTAAAGAAAGAGAGATAAAACTTTTAAAAAGACATAGTGGGCCTCCCATGTTCTGCCATCACTTACTTCCCTCACTACAGAATATCACAGAAAATATGAAAAGGGTTTTGTGGGAATCAAGGCTCAGAAAGGCCAAAGACACAGATTTTCCTAACACCCTCCCCACCATGGGTCCTCCGTGTACCCGTGGCCTGGGATTGGGCATTCTGAAACCACTGCTAAAAAAAAACCCCAGGGTGAAAGATGGGCCTCTTAACTCCCATCTGCTTGGCCACCCCAACCTTACCCATGGGCAAAGCCTTCTAAGGAGGTGGCCATGGGTCCCTGGAGCTGAGCCCATAGTGGGTAAGGGAAGCCAAGGGCCTGGACAGTCTTCCAGGGGAAAGCAGGATCAGGGGGAGGGGGGAGGAGGGAGAAGGGGGCTGAGCACATGATGCAGGTGAAGCAGAGAATTCACTCACAGGGTCTCCAGGCTGGTGGTGCCTTTGAGGTCAGGAAACTGCTGGATGTCCGTGGCACCATTTAGGGACCTGGAAGCAGAGACAAAGGCCTGGAGGGGTGGGCTCAGTGCATCCCCACCCCCAGGCTCTCAGCCTCTGTCTTTGCCTTCCTGGGGACTCAAGGACCCCTACCTTCCTATATGGAGGGTGAGCCATGCTTAGCAACATATAACTAGACATTTTCTTCTTTGCTTTTTCTCTTGAAACTCTTAGTTTAAATGCAGAGAGTCAGAGACAGAGACCTCCACCATCTGCTAGTTCACTCCTCAAATGCTCACTGTGGTCACAGTTGAGTCAGGCCAAACCCAGGAGCCAGAAACTCCATCTGGGACTCCCACATGTGTGGCATGGACCCAATTACTCCAGACATTTTCTGTTGCCTGCCAGGGTGCGTATCAGCAGGAAGCTGAAGTTGGAAGCAGAGCCAGAACTTGAACCCAGGCACTCCAATGTGGGCTGCAGGCAACCTAAGTGGCAACATAACTGTTACACCACTGGCCCCAGCCTTGTTCTTAAGTTGGCCCAGCCAGAACCAGGTCTCAGCTTGCAAACCAACACAAGCCCTAGAGACAGCCCAGTCAGAGGAAAGCCTGTTGGTTCTTCCAGCAGCTGCTTATAGAAGAGGATGATAGTGAAGAGGCTGGCAGAGACTGTGGGGAAGGGCCCCATTCTTCCATTGGCAACCTGGCAGGTAGATGGAGGCCACAGAGTCCAGACAGCTCTGAGAACTGTGCTGTGCCAGGCTCAGGCCTGTGGCCCTCAAGACTATGCCTTTGGGGGTGGAGATTGGCAAGTGAGCCATCTGCAGGTGGACAGCTGGACAGGGAGAAAGGGGGAGCCAAGGGGGAGATGGAGATCTCAGTGGCCTCCCGGAGCCAACTCACAGGGTGTGCAGCTTTGGTAAGTCCTGGAATGCCGACCTCCCTACGGACTGGATCGGGTTATCATAGAAGTGTCTGCAGAAAAAGACCCAAACACCAAATTGCCCTTTGCAACCCTTTTAGCTGGGATCAAGGCCCTTCTCTACTTTCCTCTCTTCTGAAAGGCCCCCAGAGGAAGGCGACCCCACCTCCACTCCTGACTCCTCCCTCAAATGCTGCTCAGCACTAGGACCCCAGAGCTTCACTCACATGGTCTGTAGCAGAGGGTTGCCCATGAAGGCCTTTTCTGGAATAGCCTTGATGTTGTTATTGTGGAATCCTCTGGAAGACAGCATCCGGGATGGGGGTGTGGGCAGTGAGTATGGAGAGGGAAGGACATGCCTTGGGTTTTCCCACAGCTGGCAGGACAGGCCATAAGACCAAAGGCACATCAGCCCGAAACCCCAGGCTCCAATCAAGTCTGTGGCTTTTGTTGTCAGTCAGTCAGCCATGCACCCATGCTGTCCACAACAGGCACGAAAGAGTGAATGGGGCAATCTCTGGCTGCAGGTCTCGGGAAGCCACGGAGACTGGGCTCAGGTTCCAGCAGGGGACCCTCTCCCTGGGTCCTGTAGCAGAGCCCTGGTATGTCCCACAAAAGATGCCAAGGGTGTGTGGGAAGGAAAGATAACCAGGAGGCTCCCCATACAGGGGCCCTTAATCCAAGACATTTGGGAGTGGTTGTCACGGCAGTGGGGCTGAGGGTTGGCAGAGTTTTAGGGAGGCAGGGGATGAGGCACCCAGCAGAGCAGGTGCAGGTCTGCGAGCCAGGACTGCCACAGCAAGGCCAGGGCACAGGGGCAAACACTTTCAGAGACAGCAGTGGCAAACGGAAAGCGCATTACTTGTGCGGTATGTGCCCTTTTCCCTCTCTTGCTTTTTTCACTGGAAGTTCCTGGGTCCTGCCTGTGTCCTGCTTGCCTCTGTTCACCTGCCCTGCCCTGCCCTGCTGTGGTCCCCTCATTATTTTCACCTTTCACATTCCCTCACTCACAGGCTCACCTTTGAACACCTCCAGCCAATGCCAGCCACACATTTGTTCCTTCTTTAGACTCATTATTTTTTAAATTTTAAAATTTTAACTGATGCATAAACATTGTACATATTTATGGAGTACCCTGTGATGCTTCAGTACATAATGTTACACACTGGTTAATGTTCAAGGGTAATCCTATCTCTCTCTTCAAATACACATTCTTTCTTTATAGTGAAACCATTAAAAATCCTTTGTCCAGCTTTCTTTAATACACACACACATATATAAAGTATGTGTGTATGTGGTCTACTGTCATTATTTGTCATCATTCATAGTCCTCCTTCTGTGCTCTCCTAACTGTAACATGATCCCCATTAATCATCCCCTCTGTGCCCACTATGCTCTCCGGCTCTAGTCACCACCATTCTATGCTCAACTTCTATGAAGTCAGCTTATTCAGATTCCACATATGAAGACGATCACGTGGTACTTGTCTTTCTAGCTTTGGTTTATTTCACTTACCATCATGACCTCTGATTTACTCATTGTGCAGTTTTGAATAATTCCTTTGTATCAAGTACTGGGCCAAGCACTGAGAGATTCAGGAAGTGGTAAAACAGAAATCCTGCTCAAGCAGCTTTCTCCTTACTGAGCACTAATAGCAACAAAGGTGGATGGATGATACAGCTGGGTGATGGGCGGATAAGTAGATGGATGGATGAATAAATAAATGATGCATGTATGCATATATGTATGCAAATATGTATGTATATATGGATGGATGGTTGAGTATGGACGGATGGGTGAATGGATAAATGATGCATGTATGTATGGCTGGGTGGATATATGTAAGTGTAAATGGATGCATGATGCATGCATGTATGGGTGGGTGGATACATGTATGAATGGATGGGTGGATGGGTGTGGGTAGAGGGAGGGATAGACACAAACACACACTCCTATGTGTGTATCTTCTCATGCCTGCTCACTTAAGTCTCTTCCCTAATGCTTTTTCATTCCTTGTTCCCTCCATGCCCTCATTCTTCTCTCATGTTCCAGCCCAGTAGAGAAAAAAAAAATCAGACCTTGATGACTCATGGCAGTAGAGAACTTCCAATAGTTTTTCATTCTCTTTCCTCTGACTGTCCCAGCTATTTACTTTTAAAATTTCTCTATTTGAAAGGTAGAGTGGCAGAAAGAGAAAAAGATCTCTTCCCTAGACTTGTTCACTCCCCAGTATCTTCCAAAACCAGTGCTGGGCCAGGCTGAAACCAGGAGCTGGGAGCTCACTCCTGCTCTCCCAGGTGAACTGCAGGAGCTCATCGGTATATCAGCAGGAAGCTGGATTAGAAGTATGGAGTAGCCAGGACTTGAACCAGCCCTCTGATATGGGACATGGACATCTCCCGTGGCAGCCTAACCCACAGTGTCGCATGTCAGCTCTGTCGTTTGCTGTATTTGCATGTTTAGGCTTCTGGACCAGGGAGGAGAGTGAAATGTAGTTGGTCATGCAGGTTCATGGGTTTGCTAAAAATAAGGGTTCTGAGCTGCCTGAAGCTGGGGTGGGAGACCTGGGTGTGAAACCTTCCAGGTCATCTTACCTTGACCCCATTATGACAATGTAACAGACCTTCTAGATAGCTTCCTGGCCTCCCTCTGGGGGTCATCCCCCTGCCAGTTCATCTTCTGTTTGGATCAGTACCTGCCCTGTTCTGTCTGGAATTACCCTCCTTCTGCCTTGTTCATCCCTGTTCATCCTGAGCCTGTCTCAGGATGTATCTGTCCATAGTCATCTTTCTATGCTGGCCTAAACTCCCAAGGTCGTTTTAGGTAATATGACACAGTGTAGAGTCAAAATCGTATCCTGCTTCCTGTTGTCTTCTTGCTTTTACATGTCACTTTGTGTCCTCAGTTAAGCTGAAGGAACCTTGGGCAGGACCCGTGTTTATTATACTGCGAAGCACTCCACACAGCACTGAGGGTGTCCTGGGTGCCTTGAGGGCAGTGCCAGACTCAGACCACAGGAAGTGGCTCGTGCCATTTTTCTTCCTGGGCTGGAAGGCCCAGGGGCCAGTTCTGCTGGTGCCACACCCCCAGTAAACCGTTCAAAGCCAAGTTAATGCCTGTGACTGCTTAGAGCTGCCCCAGGGACTTCTCACAGCTACAGCTTTTACAAGAATCCTGGGAGGTGGGGAGGTGGGGAGGTGGGGGTGGAGAGAGAGCCGGCTGCAGCCTGTCCCTGGGGCTGGGAGGTGGGGGGGGGGGGGACGGACAAGGACACCCACAGAAAAAGACAGAGGAGCTTACAGTTCCTGCAGCCTGCCCAGGGTCCGGATGGCCACGGGGAACTCATGCAGCTCGTTGTAATTCAGGTCCCTGGAAGGGAAAGCAGAGCCGGCATCAGAGCAGAGGCTTAGCAGGGCACATTGGGCTCCCTGAGACACGGAAACTTGGCTCCAGGCTGGGTCGGGGAGATGGGTTTCCAATCTGTTGGATCCAGCTGCTGAGGTCTGGAAATATATTCCTGGAATGTTTGAACTCCTTTCCTGCCCCACAAATCCTCAGACTTCCAGGCTTCACAGCAGCAGAGCTGTTCGGAAGGGGGAGCACATTTCAGGGGTGTGGAATCCTGGAACCGTCTCCCAAAGTGTGCAGTCTCCAACAGCCCCAGAAAGCACAGCAAGTGTTTTTTTCTTCTTCTTTTTAAAAAAATATATTTGAAAGGTAGAACGACAGAGAAAGAGATAAGAGAGGATTTTTACCTACATGTTCGTCTGAAGCTTAGAACCTAGTCCAGGTCTCCCTCTTGGGTGGCAGGTCTCCATCCGCCGGGCCACCACCTGCTGCTTCCTAGGGTGCATGCGAGCAGGAAGCTGGGGAAGTCAGGAATCGAACCCAACCACTCTGATGAGGGATGCAGAGAACCCAAGGCACATCGTAATCACTAGACCCCTACTTTGTATTTTTAACAGACAAAAGTCAGAATGATTTTGAACAAGTTGTTTCTACCATGAAGTTCCTTGGCTACCAGCAGCTTCTGCTGCTGTCTTTTCTAAAAAGACATTTGGGAGCTGGCATTGTGCCGCAGCAGGTAAGGCCGCTGCTAGCAACCCGCAGCCCATGTGGGAGTGCCAGTCCTGGGAACTGCTGGTTCTTTTTTTTTTTTTCTTTTCTTCTTTTTAAAGATTTGTTTATTTTTATTGGAAAGTCAGATATATACAGAGAGGAGGAGAGACAGAGAGGAAGATCTTTCGTCCAATGGTTCACTCTCCAAGTGACTGCAACAGCTGGTGCTACGCTGATCTGAAGCCAGAAGCCAGGAGCTCCTCTGGGTCTTCCATGGGGGTGCAGGGTCCCAAGGCTTTGGGTCGTCACTGACTGCTTTCCAGGCCACAAGCAGGGAGCAGGATGGGAAGCAGGGGCGCTGGGATTCAAACCGACACCCATATGGGATTTTTTTTTAAAGATTTATTGTATTTTTATCAGAAAGTCAGATATACAGAGAGGAGGAGAGACAGAGAGAAAGCTCTTCCGTCCAAAGGTTCACTCCCCAAGTGAGCACCACAGCCAGTGCTATACCGATCCGAAGCCAGGAGCCAGGAACTTCTTCCAGGTCTCCCACACAGGTGCAGAGTCCCTAGGCTTTGGGCAGTCCTCGACTGCTTTCCCAGGCCACAAGCAGGGAGCTGGATGGGAAGAGGAGCTGCCGGGATTAGAACCGGTGCTCATATGGGATCCTGGCATCTTCAAGGCAAGGACTTTAGCTGCTAGGCCACAGCGTCGGGCCCGAAGTGCTGGTTCTTATCCTAGCTGTACCACTTCCAACTCTGCTCCATACTAATGCTGCTGGGAAGCCACCGGAGGATGGTCCAGGTGCTCGGACTTCTGCCTCCCATGTGGGAGACCGGATGGAGGTCCACACTCCTGCCGAGCCCTGGCAGTAGCAGCCGTCTGGGGACGTGATCCGGCAGACAGAGGGGGGTTAGGAGCTCTTTCTCTGACTGTCCTTTCTGTCACTCTACCTATCAAATAAATAAATTTTAAAAATAAAAAGAACAAAATTGGGCAGGGTTTTCATCATTGGTGGTATGACAGCTAATCTTGATTTTCTCCTACTCCTTTCTGTGTGTTTTTTTTTAAATTTGTTTATTACAATGAGCATCACACATATAAACCAGAAAGCAACAAAGATAACGCAGAAAGAGAATGTCATCCATATTGAGCAGTCTATGGAGTGTACCAGTCAGCTTTTTGCTCTCTTCACTAAATCCCTTGAGAGGAGCTTCTTGGGAGAGAAAAGGTTTACTTCAGCTTGCAATTCGGGGGTTCACAGTTCAAGATCAGGGGTCCCGGTGTTGTGACACTGAGTAGAGGCTGCCCATGGTGGAGTAGGGGTGAGTCAGGCAGCAGAGCTGTGTGGGAAGAATTCTGTTCCTCTGCCATCCTGGAAGAGTCTCCTTACAAAGCCATCAAGAGTCCACCCCAAGGCTCCACGCCAGCCACTGGAGCCATGCCAGTCACTTTCCTGCAGGTGCCATCACCAGCCCCGCCGCCTCCCCATCCCTCAGCTGGTGGCATTCACCCATGCACTGGGAAGACAGTGAGGTTCATGCATCTGCACGAGTATGAGTAGCCAAGTCCACAACATGGGGGAAAGAGAGGTCCCCAGAATTGATCAGTAGTGGGAACTTAGCAATGTGCAACCATCTGGGAACAATGGACAACGCCTTGTCATACTTTAAGCTTTATACCCCGATTTACCTGGCATGATGGCTCAACTGGCTAATACCTTACAGGCACCGGGATCCCATGTGGATGCCAGTTCGGGTCCTGGCTGCCCTATTTCTCAACCAGCTTTCTGTTTATGGCCTGAGAAAGCAGTGGAGGATGGCCAAGGCCTGGGAACCCTGCACCCACCCATATGGGAGACCCAGAGGAGTCTCCTGGCTTTCAGATTGGCTCAGCCCCGGCCGTTGTAGCCATTTGGGGAGAAAATCAGTGCGTGGAAGGTCTTTCTTTCTGTAAATCTGCCTTTCCAATAAAAATAACTAAATCTTAATTTTTTTTTTTTTTTTTTTGCCCAAGAACTCCCAGTGTAGTAATGAGTCCTACAGAAAAGTCTGTGTCAGTGTGGAGAAAAACAAAATACTTCAAAAAGTTCATGGAGCATGAAATGAAAGATTTATTTTGCTGCTAAAAGATTGCTTATGTAAGAGGGGTCCTTAGGAAACTCCTGGACAATGCAGACTACAAAGCAACTTTGAGTGGATCTCAGAAAATTTTGCTCTAGAATAAAATTGAGCTGCCAATTCTGTTTTCCGTGGACCTTTTAATGTGACTTAGATGTGTTTAAAGATGCTCACAGCAGCACTGGTGTGGCCACAGAGGCAGGACGCTGACAGTTAGTCATCAGTGCTTTAAGGGGCTTCTGTGGTTTTATGGCCACCACCCGGCAAAGGAGGGAGGAAAACCGGAAGAGGCCAAGGGAAGGTTTGATTTTCATCAGAAAAGATTTAGAACTGCCTGTGACAAACAGGAAAGGGCCCCTCACGGCAGGGGAAGCCTGCGGTAGGAAAGAGGTGCCCGAAGGACTGTGAGGGGAGACTGGGAGCTGCGGGAGGACTCCGAGCGGGTTTTGTCTGTCTGGCCTGCAGCAGCTTTCAAAATGCAGAAGTCGGCTTGTTTTCCTCAGCCGCCAGGGAGGCGTCTCCCTGGGACACGTGCCTGTCGTGGGAGGGGGTGCTGATGCCTCTGAGATCCTGGTGCTTAGACACCTGGCAGTGAGAAGGGAGGATGTCTTATAGCCATTGCTTAGAACAGATGCTGGGGTGGAACTTGAGAAGCCTGCACCCATGTTGGAGGCTCTACTTCTGATTCCAGTTCCCACTGTCACACATCCTGGGAGGTGGCAGGTGACAACTCAAACCAGGCAGAATCACAGCCAGCATGAGGGAGACCCTTGTTGAATTCCAGGTTCCTGGCTTTCGACTGGCCCAGCCCCAGCTGTTGGGGGCATCTGCAAAGTGAGCCAGCAAATGGGTGATCTCTCTCTTTCTTTTGCTTTCTCTTCTAAATAAGTAAAATCAAGCCACCCCTGGCCTGATGACTTTCACAGCTGTCCAAAGCTGGGACAGGGGCCCCACGTGCAGGCCCTTTAATTACAGAGTGACTTGGCAGGCTTTGGCGGGTAAATAACCATGTTAACATGGAGATAATGACAGGCTCCCCTGCACAACATGGTCATTGCACTTAATAGCCCACAGCTAGAGCCAGAAACCCAGCCCAAAGGTCAGAGAGCCGTGACAAGTGTCTGGCAGTAAGTGAGCCAGGTGATTGTCATCCCCCCTCCCCGCCGGGCGTGCACACACACACACGCATACACACAAATTACCCGATTACCCGCAGACTGCCCCGGTGATTGTGAGTAATTACAGCATCAACCCTCTCTGCCCTGCCTTGCTCTGCTCTGTTCTGTAGTGAGTCACACAGCTTTGTCTGGTGGATTTGCTCATGGAGAGGCAAAGTGGTGGTCAAGCTGAGGTCAAGGACATGAAAAGTCAGAGTGTTCTAGCTGCAAGCAGGAGAGGGGTTCAGATTCTGGAGGTTCTGGGGTTCTCTCAGGGTTGGGGAGCTCCACAAGATGCACAGGATGTCAGGTAGGGAGAGTTGAGAATAGAGGTCTCAGTGGTGAAGTGGACAGGCCCCCTGTGAGCTTAGTTTGCATAAATTGTTCCCTCCCCACTTGGCTCAGGTCACTGGAGAATCCTCCTCTCTTGGCCAAGGATAGCTAGATTTCCCTTCATGCCATGGACTTACAAGCCTTAGTTTCACATTGTGCTATCAAATACAAACAATCGCATTGGTCTGGCCTCAACCCTTGTTTGCTCTTCTACCTGCTTAGAAGACTCTTGGTCTCTGTCAAAGCTGCACCTCCTCTGACCTCTCCATTTAAGTTACTGCAGCCAGGGCTGGACACTCAGCCTAACAGTGAAGGCACGTGGATGCCCACTAGCCCACGTCAGACTTTCTGGATTTGACATCTGGTCCTGGCTCCCGATTTCAGCTCTGCTGATGCTAGAAAGCAGCAGTGACAGCTCAAGTTGTTGAGACCTGCACTGAGCTCCCAAGACCCAAGTTCACCCACAATGGGGTGTCACTGTGACCATTTGGGGTGTGAATCAACGGGAACACTCTTCCTCTCAAGCAAAATAAACAAAAATCTTAAAAATAAAATAACACAGATTGCTATTCACTATGTCCTCCCCCAGCATGGTAGATTAAGAGTGGCCAAAAATCTTTTGTGGTGTCTGCTTGAGACCGGACTGATCTTATACCTGGTGTTGACCAATAGAAGGAAGCAGAAATGACATGATGGG